CCCCAAAACCCCAAAACCCCAAAACCCCAAAACCCCAAAACCCCAAAATTTAATATACTATTGAAAATAGTAAAATGGGTGTCTGCAATAGTTGCATAAAACAAAACCCTCAAAACCTCAGCGTCGACAAAAAGAACAAAAGCAAGAGCATTTCAGGAGAAGCAGATTATCCAATAGTTGGATCACTCCAAAGTAACATTTATACTTTATTTCTAAAATATTCAAAAGTCTGACATGTTTATTTCCAGAAAAATCCTCGATGGCAAACAAGAGCAAGGGAAGTTTCAAGCGTAACTTTATAATGCTAACTCTGTAGAGCCTAATTGCTTATACTCAAGCAAGAGCTCGATCTCATCCAGTCTGATTGAAAATAATTCTTCAATAAATTTCTACCACCTGCCGACCTTGTTCGAAGTTGACGAGTTTGAGATATCCAATTGCTCTGAGGAAGACCTAATTACAAAATCAAATTGGCTCTGTCAGGAAATAAAGGATGTTAAGAATCATAAAAATGAGCTTGAATCACACCTCAGTTCATTAGACCAAGAGCAAAATGAACTTACGGAGAAACTTATTATCCACATCGGAAACTGTACCGTCGGTAAGCCACTTAGCTACAAAGTTTACTTGAACTTCTAAAACTCTACAAAATCAACACAAACCTCAGGCTTTACCTCTGATCTAGCTGAACCTCAGGTCGGAAAGAAGTACCAAATCAGCCTTCAGCAAAGAATGGATTGCATGATGAAGAAAACACCCGATGGAGCAGATGAACAAGCTCTAGAATATTTGGCTAGCCTCTCAACTGTTCATATTGATAAGTCTGGTCCTCCAGATGAATATAATAAGGTGCAGTCTTCGAAGACACTTACAGAAGAAAGCAAGGTAGCCCCTCAAACGTATTTCAGTCTAGCTGGACTCCCTGTAGTTAAGGTAACAGTTCTCCTCAGACATTATAGGCCTTTGGAAAAGAGTCTTTTAGCAACAAAAATATTGGAAAAATCAACAAAAAGGACTTTTTAGCTTCAGCAATAGCTACGAAATCTCAGACTAAACTTGATGAGTCAGCAAAACACGAGGACTCTCTTCTCCAGAGTAGTTCTTCTGAGAAGGAAGTGCTCTACATTGAGGCTTCAAAAGTGGCTCCAGCTAAAAGCAAAAGCCAGTGTCATTGGGATGAGATGCACTGACTCTATTTTGATAAGGAGAGTGAATCATTGCAGAAAAAGTTCAATATCTGCTTTTTAGAAAGAACAAAGGAAAAAGCAGTCTCCTACAGTAAAGATCGTACTCTTTTCATATCCCAATTTGAGGAAGGAAAAATCTATGAAAGTGAGATATCGTTTAAAAACCAGAAAAATGATTCAAATGTTGCAACTCTTAAGATGAAAATCCAGTACATCAAAGATGAAGAGCGCCTTATTCAGAGTATTTTAGACTTATGAGAAAACAAGAGGAAACTTCTAAGCCTTTTACTTAAGAACTGTGTTAATGAAATAAAGAAGCTCACAGGCAGTGAGGCTTCTTCTGGCGAAGACAACCCACAAGACGAGAATTCTGGAGTCCAAGATAACCAAATGAATAGCTTATTAAACAAAGTTAAAGAGCAGTCAATGATCAGTTGGGGAGTTTCTAACAAAAACTCCTCGATCGCAGGTATCTCTCATGAAAGAAGTGAGTCCAAAGGTATCTCGATTGTTGAAAATACTGATAAAATGCATTCATTTTCCTTCGCAGAAAATCTAGAGTACAAGCACCAGAAGAACTCCTCAAAAAGTGCCAATGATGAGTTCTTCAACCTCTTCAGTAATGACAAGGTTGAGGAGAAAGCAGCTGTGAGGATGACAGACGCATAAAGTCTCTTTTACCAGAAAATATAAGCATAATAAATTCAAATAGCTTTATTAAAAATGGGGTTTTGGGGTTTTGGGGTTTTGGGG